CATGCTCCATTTCTCTAACTCATCCACTTTTTTTTATTGTAACATTGATTGATTCTCTAAGATCGTCCATGCAATATTATGTCTTTTCATGTTTGCAATATATGCGTGGGAATATCGCGTTCCCTCCCGATATTTTCTAGTCCAGATGATACTGACACATGTCGATGCTCTCTTTTAAAAAAAAATTTAAATCTATATGGGTTCTTCTATTTCTACCGACGATAAAGATTTTCGAGAATATAAATATTATCTTAGCATCTATARGGTACTGTCCGTCTAGATTAAGTGGGAGCTGTAAATTTTATTCTTCAAATATTTTATGTATTTGTTTTTCCCCGATTAATATTTCCTTTCATATTTTTTCAAAAAAAAAAAGAAAAAACATTTCCTTTCATATATATACGAACAATTTCAAGATATTTAGGGCGGGCATATTAAATAATTATACTAATAAACATTTTGGAATTCTCCTGGAAAACAAAATGTTAAATCACTACTCTGACGGAACATTTTACTTGTTTCAATATTTGTTGGAGCGATTAGAGAAGAAGAAAGTATCATCAATCAATATACTTTCTTTTCTTTTAAACTTAATCAGATATACTTTCTTCTACAAGTTGTTGAATGCATAAACTAATAGACATGGTGATCATCAACAAACATACCAATGATGGATTCTCATGCTAGGAATTTGTATGTATCAATTGATTTTGGTTAAACTAGGAATGTTTTATGTTCTACGATGATTCTATTAGATGTGACATAGTCTCTACTAGAGAGAAGGAAGTAGAGATAGCAAAAATCTTGAGGCCTCCTTCAAAATACTCTGGGTATATATGTATATTCTAAAAATCAACTTAATTAAACAATTTCCGCTGGATCTTTAATCTTCTTTTTTATAGCAATGTGCACTGGATAATGCGGTTGCGGCCACTTTATTGGAGATGACCAATGAAGCCATAAAACCAGGACAATTTATATTCTTTTGATTTGTTTATATACATCAAGCATAAACTAAGCGATACATTTCTTTAGAATTACACTTTATAACATTTAATACCATCAGTGACAAGAAAAACCATTTGATACCATCGCATTATGTCAAGACTCAGGACAAGGCTTTTTAATAAATTATAACTACAAGAAGCTTTAATCATGAAAATTACTACTAAATGATATCCATACATAGTAGTTAGCAATCATCTCATATCAACTTGCCTTGCACATAAACCCATAATGTTAGTAATGTGTTGAGTC